TTCTACACTCTACTATACATATACACCCTATTTTCACTATGCATGCAATAATGAGCATTTTCCAGTAAAAAAATAAGAACCCTTAAAATTGACCATAACTGCATGCATACCAATTTCATGCAGTGCAATGCAAAAAAAAAAAAGGAGTCAAATGACTGCATGCATACCAATTTCATGCAGTGCAATGCAAAAAAAAGGAGTCAAATGACTGCAATGCCACTTTAATCATTTCACATGCCCTTTATGCATGCAGAAGCATTTTAAAACAGACCACTTTGAAATGCACACTGCTGAAATAAGTATAAAAGCAAAGGAGACACGTCTCCGTCGATGCCCGTATGCATGACTTCATCTTTGTGTCTAAATTTAGGACTGTGCCATGCATGCAACTGCTCTGGAGCTCCCTAGACAGTCCTGGTCTATCACAGATACGTGGTATTCTGCTGAATGAGATGAAATGGTGGGAAAAAGACACCAACCAAGAAATGAGTCTGGCATCGAGAGGCTTCAAATGCAGTCTGGCTTTTCCAAACCCCATCGGGCGTGCTGATGATACTGAGAACCGGTTGAACCCTGCGCTTTAGTTAATATGCAAGTTTCCTACAGTCACATAACCAGATAATGCTTTAGTAAAGCTGTGTGTGTGTGTGTGTGTGTGTGTGTAGGTGGCAGACTGGGGGGAATACAGTCAGTCTGTGTCTGGGTAACGTTACAAATAGTAACGTTACATTCAGATCTTGCAGTGGACTGCTGCTCTTTTACTGTCTTCATCACGTTTCTGTCGTTCATTAATCCGAATCTAGCAGATCAAGTATAGACTTTCCTGTTCAGCAGCAGACAGAACAAAGGAGGCGCTGAGATATCAGCACATCTACAGAGGCACTTTCGTTATTCCTGTTTTTCGATTGTATTCCCATCTGTCACGCTTTTTGTGAGCTGGATACAGTTTTGAATTACGAAAAACACAATACGTGCATTCTCTTCAAATCGCGCAGTATTAGAAGAGTAGCTAAGTGTCGACTCAACTAATGTGTGTCTGTGTCTGTGTTTTTTTTTTACTTTTGGCGAATGTGTGAAGGTTTACTTACAGATAAAGTCTTTGTTCTTGTCCTTTGCTGTAAAGTTGCTGTTGGAAAAGGCGTTCTTGGACGAAAGCGGACCCGAGCAGCAGCCTTGCGGGGTTTGGACCCCCGTACAAGGCTGCGGGACTGGGGCGTCAAGATCTCAGCCGCTTCCACTGGCTGACTGCATGTAATTCAACAGAGAGCTAATTTTGACTGTGCTGGACTGGGGCCAAGCCCCCCATTCCGACTCTGCACTGCAGGTCGGTTCAGACGAACCGACGATTACCCGACGGTGGGCGGGGCCTGCGAGACTCCGCCCACTCTGCGTGCGTGCGGCGCGGCGCCATTGGGCGGTTAAACTATGGCAAGCCGTTTTAACATTTAGGTCTCATTCACACGAAGCTAGAGCTTTCCCTATCCAATATGGTTCTTCCGTAAACACGGTGTAATTTCAAGAAATATCTGCTGACTAGGGGTGTGAATCAGCACTGGTTTCACGATTCAATTCGATTATGATTATCATGTCAACTATTCGATTAAATTCGATATCCCAATGCATCACGATTATATCAAAATTGTATAATCGTGTCCCCCATCGCGGGGGGGGGAGCATGCTTATAAGCCTTGCACGCTGTATACAAACCTGAATCTGAATCGGCCGATAATGCCTTAAAATGTAAACATCGGCATCAGTCCGATATGAAAAATTATGCCAATATGCCTTGCCGTTGCCAATAAGATGAATAACTCACATGACCTCAGGGTGTGATAGTGATAAGATAATGTCAACAGTGAGGTCATTCTTGAAGCAAACTTTTGCCTGAGTGATGATTAGATTCACTGTTTTGGATTGCAGCATTTAATCTGAGAATGCACATACAGAATGATGCATGGGGTGTGCTAGAGTCAACATTACTAGCATGTGCAGTAGCAGCAGCAGCAGCAGCCTCCCCCGGGTGCTAATGCCTGTCCGGTAAGGCGTTTTATTTAATTAGGGGGGTGCTGTTGGCCTACTTGTAATAAAATTAAAGTAAAATACACGAATAACATTAAGATTGTGTTCCTGATTAAATTAATCAGTAATTTATGTCATAAAATCACAAATACCACCACAGTTACCACTGCATCTTTGTTTATAATCTCTGCATAGGAGAGACTTTTCCAAACAAAAGGTAATATATCAGCATCGGCTATCAGCCAAAATGAGTTGAAAAATATCGGCATATCGGATATCGGCAAAATCCAATATCGTGCATCCCTACCCAACACAACAACAAATGAGCGTGTGCGTGCTTGTCACATCTAACTAAAACCAAAGACTATAGCAATAACTCTCTCCTTGCAGTTACAGTATAGTCTCGCTTCCATCTCCGGCCAATAGGGGGCGCCGTATGACAGTCTAATTGTGACACTGGACCACAAAACCAGTCATAAGGGTCAATTTTTTTAAATTGAGATGTATACATCATCTGAAAGCTGAATAAAAAAAGCTAAATTTGTTAGGATAGGACAATATTTGGCTGAGATACAACTATTTGAAAATCTGGAATCTGAGGGTGCAAAAAATATATATATATATATATTTTGACCCATACAATGTATTGTTGGCTATTGTTACAAATATACCCCAGCGACTTAAGACTGCTTTTGTGCTGCAGGGTCACAATTGAGCCATAACAGCGGCCTGAGTCTTACTCACAACTTAGTATATTGATAATTGAAACATTTAATAATGCTAAAAATAACAATAATAATTTTTAAAAGATTAAAATACAACCCAGGGCCCTCTTTAGGCTCAGGGGCCCTATGTGGTTCATTATACCAGGGTTTTACAATCTTCTAGATGTTATAGACATCCCAAATCAACCTTCTGTGAGAGACCATATCCTTAAAAAAATCTGTATTGTTTCTTAAATAAATATTCAATTAATACTGTGAAAAGCTACTGTTATAAATGTCAAAAATATTTAGCTTCTGTGAAGTTTTTTTTATATTCATTATAGCACTGTAGTACTGTTATAATGTGTTATGTATTTAGAATTTATTTACTTAGCCTATTTATTTTAATTATTTACTATTTTTAAATTTGTATTTATTTATTTATTTTATTTATTTATTTATTTATTTACTATTTAATTACATTTTGATTTATGTAACTATACACTGTAAAAAAAAAAAAAAGGAATTTAACGGTAAAAGACTGTAAAAATGCTAGAATAAAAACCTGTTAAATGGTTAACGGTAAGTTCCCCTACTATATACGGTGAAAAGCTTTATTGGACATTACATGTAATTTTACGGTAGTATACCGTTTTTGGAAGTGGAAAAATAATGTATAATTGACATTCCCAGAATTCCCTGCATTACATTTCAAGTTTGATGTGTTTTTTTTGTTGTTGAAATAACTGTTTCTTCTTAGTTTTTTCTTATCAGTTGTGTACGTTAGGGTTGTATGTTACATCTAATGTTGTTAAATTAATGTTTATTGCATTATTTCAGTTTCACGTGTGTCACCATGAAGGTGTTTAGTGTTTGTTTGAATGACTCTGTGCACTTCTATATATGTTAGTATTTAAAAGCTGCTTGTGATGGGCTTTGGTTCGTCATGTGACTTTCTCATCAGCACCTGCTTTTGGTGGTTATCAGTGTATTACAAAGCTACAAAACAGATTTCAGTACTTCAGTAGGTTGGTATATTAACATTATATCAGTTAATGAAATTACGGTATTTAAATGTAAATTTAAGTTAAAACTGTAAAACCTAAGATGTTGCTACGGTATTTTTTACGGTAAAATTCTTGCAACCACAGCTGCCGTTTTTTTTTACAGTGTATGTAATTTCACTATAGAAATACTGTCAAATTTATGGTTTTTGGAGTTGAAATCTATGAATTACCATGTAATTCACAGTAAACGCTCATTTTCAGAAGTCTTTTCATGATATATGCAGGGTTGCCACGTCTGCGGTTTTATCGCGGAATTGGGTTACTTTTACACTGTTGCCAATCTAGCAACCCTGGATATGTGATTACATTTTTTTTTTTTTTTTAATTACATTTCTTCTCATTTTTATTATCAGTAATGTACATAAGGATCTTTTGTTTTTTTTGTCATTTACTTATTTATTTGAATCATTATTTGTTTGTTTGTTTGTATACTTTAAAATAATTTTTTTAATTAAAAAAAATGCTTATTTCATTTATTTATTTTAATCTTACTTTTTATTATTTATTAATTTTTTACACTTTCTTTTGACCCCCCCCCCCCCCCCCCAGCTTCTGTCACGAAAACAAATTCCTCGTATGTGTAAACATACCTGGCAATAAAGCTCATTCTGATTCTGATTCTGATTCTGAGTTACACTCTTAAAAATAAAGGTGCTTCACGATGCCATAGAATAACTTTTTTTGTCTAAATGGTTCCATTAAGAACCTTTAACATCTGAAGAACCTTTCCATTTCACAAAAGCTTCTTTGTGGCAAAAGAAGGTTCGTCAGATTATAAAAAGGTAAGAAAGAGATGGTTCTTTAAAGAACCTTTGACTGAATGCTTCTTCTGTGGCATCGCTGTGAAGAACCTTTTAAGCACTTGTATTTTTAAGAGTGTATTGTTAATGTAAGTCCAACAAGTGAACACTGCCAACATATATGAAGCAATTACACTAACTCAACCCAAACTGAACAACACTATCCTTAAACCAGCCCCATAACCTAGTGACCCATAGATTGACTCCTAAATCAGTCAGATACTGGATCTCGGGGGTCAGCATCTTCCTGCAGAGCTCTTCATACTGTCGCTCGATGTCGCTCCTCAGGTTGTATCCTAGTATGGAAGCTTTTCCGATGGGCTGCCAGGGCTTCATGTGTCCATCTGTGATGTCCGCCGCCTCCACGGCTCCTCCGCCGTCAATGCAGATGGCCTCCATCTCTGCGTTTCTCCTGCGCAGCTCCCTCACCTGCTCCTCCATTCGGCTCCGGCCGTAGTTCTCCACGAGTGCCCAGAAAGTGGCGTTAAAATGCCGATAAAGTCGCCAGTCGGCTCCGTTCCATTCCCGAGCTCGAGTCCTCAGTTCAGGGCTCATGGGAGACACAGACGTGACATTTCTAGCATTGAGTTTAAAAAACAGCAAGTCGTCCATCTGCCAGCACAGAGTGTCTTTAAGCAGAATGAGCGATTCCTCGAAGTGGTCCGAAATTAAAACCAACTGAAAGCGCTTTTCGATGAACTCGATGCTTTCTTGGACTCTCACGTCATCAGCTTCCAAATTATTCTCGAAGCCGAAGTCGAAAAACTGTAGATTCTTGAGGTAGAAAGCGTTGATTCCCTGTGGGTTGAAGTAGCGGCTTGGATCATTGAGAAACTCCTCCAATTGGTTTCCTCCAGGGATTCTCCACGTTTGAGGCACGTAGGCTTTGTAGTAGTGGAACGAAGACTCAGAAAGCTGTGCGGGATCTCGTAGGATGGTGAAGAAGAAGGCGTCCGCCGGGAGCAGCTTCTCCACTTCGGCTGCATTGAATCGCATGTGGTTGCACACGATGTTATAGCACAGGCCCGGCTGGTAACTCTTCACTTGGGTTCGGAAGAAGCTCGACGGGTAGAAGAAGTCGTTACGGCCATCTGGGAGAGCGAACCTCAGCTGGTGCTTTTCTCCGAAGCGCAGGAGAACGTTCATCAAAGTGCTGCTGGCCGTCTTGTGGGTCTTCATGAACATCAGGTTGACTTTAGGCGTGCAGGACGCGTCTGCTTTGAGAGTTCGCTGTGAATTGTTAAGCACTTTTGGTGCACAAGGGGCCAGAGAAACTCTGAAAAGACAGAAATAAACACAAAACTGTCACAATCACTGAGGTTTTGATTACAGTATGTTGATTTGATCAATTTTGAAGACTTCGAAGTACATACACTCTTAAAAATAAAGGTGCTTAAAAGCTTCTTCACAGCGATGCCACAGAAGAACTCTTCACTTGGGTTCGGAACGCATTACTTTTTTAATTGAAGTCGTTACGGCCGTCTGGGAGAGCGAACCTCAGCTGGTGCTTTTCTCCGAAGCGCAGGAGAACGTTCATCAAAGTGCTGCTGGCCGTCTTGTGGGTCTTCATGAACATCAGGTTGACTTTAGGCGTGCAGGTCGCGTCTGCTTTGAGAGTTCGCTGTGAATTGTTAAGCACTTTTGGTGCACAAGGGGCCAGAGAAACTCTGAAAAGACAGAAATAAACACAAAACTGTCACAATCACTGAGGTTTTGATTACAGTATGTTGATTTGATCAATTTTGAAGACTTCGAAGTACATAC